ATATATTTTAGGGAAGGGTCTACAGGGTGTTCAGGGTCTCACTACTAGATTGTACTCATAGTGATCTGCCTGTTTACAGCCTCCCAGGAACTGGGATTACAGGTGTGAGCTACCACACCCAGTCTCAACTGCCATCTCAAAGTGCCTGGGAGTTGAGCTGGCACAGCAGGCCCAGGGATCAAAACCCCAGCCCCTGTACCTGCTTGCAGGTGCTTTAATCCGCTGAGCTATTTGCCTGACCCTTCTCTTAATTTCTTATACATTTCTTTCTTTTTCCAATTTTGCATGAATATATTTGGTAATACGAATAACTAGTTGGAAGACAACACTATGCATTACAACAAATACTGTGAAATTTATATTACTTTGTTAAGTGAAATTCTGCATCACTTGTAATTTTTTCTGTTTTAATACTACTTTGTACTCTTTTAAAAATGGAAAATTAAAAAAAAAAATAGTCCTGGGCCGGGGAGATGGCTCAGTGGAATTAGCTCTTTCCTGGCAAGCTCAAGGGCCTGAGTTCAATCCCTGGTTCCGCCAAAAAAAAAAAAAAAAGTCCTAAAAAGAGAAATAATTATTTTGTTTCAAAGTTGGGTTTTTTGTTTTGTTTTGTTTTTGTATTTTTGTGGTACCAGGGATTGAACTCAGGAACTCGTGCTTGCCAGGCAAACACTTACTCTACTGAGCTATCTCCTCAGCCCTTGTTTCAAAGTTTGATGGATATACTTTTAGTGTTTTGCCTTTATATTGGCTATTGCTTTGGGAAAAGCCACTTTAAACATACGAAGTAAATGTCCTGCTTCAATTGATAGCTGTTATTTTTATAAATTGATGTTAAATTTTTATCAAATTCCTTGATACTTATTAACATTATCATAAATTTTTTTATTGATTGAATCATAAAAAATTTATAATATTAAACCATCCTGGCATTCTACAGACGAACCCTCAGTTACTATGTAGTATTAGTCTAATGCTATGCTCAGTGCTACTTATTAGTTTTGAAGAATCATGTTTTTGCATAGTAGAGACTGAACTCAAGGCCTTTGCATTGAGTTTCACCCTACACTCCTACAGTACTGGATTAGAGACACATGCCACCATGTCTGGCTCAGACAGCACCTTTTTCATTAATGTACAAAGTATAATCAGTCTGAATGTGCTATAATTGCTATAGCTTAGTATCCTTCTTTCAATCTTCTCTGAAAGAATTTAAAGAGCATCCTAATTGTTTGTTTCTTAAAGGTTTGAAAGAAACCTTTGACATCATATAGGTATGAGAATTCACTTAGGGGTCAATTGTCCAGAACCTAAACAGTATATAGGAGTTGTACTGGCACTATGGATTGTACCTTTTATTATTAGAAAATGAACCTCATGGTCCACCTGGCACTGAGATGGAGATAACTTAGAGGAAATGAAAAGTACTAATTATTGCCACAACCTTGGCATGATAAAGGAAGTAGAAGGCACTAGCAGTAAGGATTAGAAAAATGAACCAGATGGGAATCTGATGAAGATAGATTTCATTTCACTTTTCTGAGCAATCTTAAGACATTATAATTTCTCACTACAATTAGCTCCTCATTATATATGCTTCCCTTTTGTTCTGGATCTGTCTCCTCTAATATCTCACGCTATTAACTACTTAGCCTCTAGAAGAAAAAAGAATATCTAAAAGTGAGTTGGGTATTATTAAATGAACCGGCCTGCTTCTAGACAGAAGTCAGTTCAATTTCTCACATGTTAATTTATTCCCTGCAATAGGGTATGATTATGAAGATGCTGCCCATGAATATGGAAACTAGCAATATTATGTACTTTCTACACCAAAATCAAGAGATTAGAAAAACAAAACAGAGCTAACTACATAAAAGGTATGAATTAAGCCCTAATATAAGAGACTCTGGAGATAAAAAGCTCTACTTGTTATAGAGGTACTGGATCACTACTTCTCCAGAACACTGCAAAGATGACATCCAGAGCAGCCAGAATGGTTGCCAATTCTAAATCAAACTCTTCATCAATGAGACCTTCAACAAGTGCATCATGGTGTTGGCAAATTTTCTGCCCACCTAATACCTTGTACTATCTGGTTCCAGGGACTAAGGTTCCATGGACGAGCCTAGAAGGGCAGTGGCAGGGGACTTACCAAGTTGTCCAGCATCCTCATGAGGGCCTCAAACTCATGCTCCCCTAGCCGGCTCTTCTGCAGGGGTCCGAAGGTGCTCCCTGCCCACTGCACAGAGCCCACCTCGTGGGGCCGGTGCTTTTCCTGCTCCAGGAGAATGAGGTTCTCCACTCCTCCGGCACTGGACAGAGCCGACACCTGCAGTGAGGAGAGACAGAGCCCCTGTGCACACAGGACCCACTCGCCTGTGCCTCTGCATGTACTGGGACTAAAGAAGATGTGGTGAGAACTTAGAAGCCAGACACGGGGAACACTGAGGAAAAGCTGCTCAAAGCTTGCTGGGCATGTACCCATTTCCAGGAATAGGGCATTAATCTTTCCTGATCCCAGCTCTGAGAGAACAAGGAAAAGAAAGAAAGAGTGTGTGTTAAACCCTAGGGAAGAAGAATACAGAGAACTTAAAGCTACTTAGGAAGGAGACAAACACAGATTTGCAATTATTTCTGAGAAGAGAAGGAAGGAGGATAAAGTTCGAAAGGGCCTTAAAGAAGACTTCAATTCTTGTCTGTAACCTCACTGTCTCTGTCTCTGTCTCTGTCTCT